CTCATTATTTCGATTCACGTGATAACGAGATTTTTGACGTAATTGATTTTATTGTGAAAAATGATTAATATTACCTATTTAATATTTTCAAAATGATATTTTTGCATTTTATACACATGATACATGTTTCAAAATATTTTGGCTCTTTATGAACTATTTATAGATGATTTACACTATTTTTTCAATATATGCGTTGAAATATTTTTTCTTAGTAAACAATTTAAAAAATCATACTATTTTGACGTATTACTGTCTTATGTCTGAGGGACAAAAACAATTTGTGCATCGAAAAAAATTCAACGTTTTTGATGCATTTTCCGTGATGCTAGAAACTTCAAATTCGTGCCATAGCTTCCGTATCTTTTGCCATGACCCCGTTATTTTCGCAGTTCAATACCTTCTGATTGTTCAATATTCATTTGCTGTGGATAATTTATATCTTCAATGATAATTGATTATCAACAGTGAACCATGTACACGCGGTAAAAGTTGAGACCAAAATGTTCAACAATATATAGTTACTATACAGGTCTGTATTCAAAAACCTTAGACGATGATCATTTTTGGTGAATCACTCTGGAAAAAATTACGAAAACAAAGTCTGATGTTTTCAATTTTTCGAAATAATGAGCTTCCACGGAATAGTGAATAGCGTCTAGTTATACTCTTATGTTTATTGCAGGTATTGGTTTAAAACTGTTCCAAATCGAATTAAATACGACTTTTTAATAATGTATTTTCTTTTATATTTTGTCTAACTGCTCATAAAAATCAACCAACTTATTGACAACGCCAAAATAACGCAGTGATAGGATTCCATTCTCAGTTTCAAATATTATTAGTAGAACATCGTTTCTATATATTTTGGTGATTTATTCAGCATCTTCAAAACCAGTAAAAAGATACTGAAGTTTTTATCAAGCACCCACTAAGTCAAGAAAATCAGAATTGGATAATTATTACAAATTTTGAAACGTAGAAAAATAAAAACCATATTCCATATAACAAGACAATATTAATATATTAAATTTATATTTGGACCCCGTGGTAATGATAATATATAAATAATTTATCAGAAATTTTTCATTTTTTAAACACAAATATAAATATGTTTTTGAGCCGAGTAGGTACAGCCGTACAGGTATAATTTCGATTTGACTGATTTTGAGTAATGTGTTCGTTGCCATAATTCTTTTTAACAAAAACATATATTCATGTTTCATAGCTTTTCCTACCAGAGGAAAAATATCGATTAGCGTTCTATGGTTTTTTTTTTCATTGGAAGTCAAAAATATAATACTTTATTGAACTTATAGTTGAGTATTGAACATAATCAAATTGTGTACCTTATCATATTTTAAACCTTTTAATATTATGGATATTATCTTTTATAATCTAGTCTTTATCGTCCTCTTTGCTGCCGTATTCCGAGTACTCGTCCGCTTCACTTGTACAAATGCTTTCTGATGACAATCCCTAACCTAACCGACTACCACTGAACGGTCCATGATCTCTATGACCGTCTCCTCCTCCAGTGGGTATTGGAACTGGGGCTCGATTGGCGAATGTGTCTCATTCCGAAGATAGCACCACCGGCCTATACCAAAAGACAAAGCTGATGGATAGCCGATAAAGTTGGGCGTCGGTTGGACTGTCTAAGGCGTCTCAAGATCGTCTTCAACCGATTTTTCATCATATTTTAAAATGTAAAGCTAACAATACGATTGAGCATAACAACTGATTAATTGTAAAAAAACAAAATAATTTTCCTTCTCAAACAAATGACAGTCAAATTCTACGATTAAAAAACAACTTCAGATACATATGAATATCAACCTAACACGGTTGTAATGTTTTACTTAAGGCTAGCAACACTAAAATTACCTTAAAAAGTCTACTTGAAATATAACATGTTTATTGCTGGCAACTTTTCGATTCAGCCAACAAGGCAACAACATTATTATAGGTACATATTTTTAACTATTTATTATCATATTGTTATAAACTTTCTTTATGTGTGCTTTATTCTTTTAAATTTTGTTCTACTTCAAGACCTACTCAAGTTGATATTACATAACAGGAATTTTTAAGCAAAAACGACAGATTTCTTTACCGGGTTTTAACATTAAAACTGAAAAGTTTCCTCGAAATTCTGATTTTACTTACTGCCGCTTATTGTGTTAGGTCCACAATCCACCGCAGGATGGATATACTGTTCGTATATTATCTTCGATCCAGTGTGGTGGCATAGCTAAGTAGCTTAGTTGCATGATAAATCGATTTTCATTTTAGGTGAGTGCAGTGATATTGACAGACATTCAAATATGGTTTTCGACTTCAACCCTTTTTACCTACAAAAAAGCACTTGTCGAACGATGTTACAAAGTATACACTATCTGCCTTAGGGTTAGAGTGGAATCTTATCTTATAATATTTTTATGGACACATTTAGATGCCGAAGAGAGCGATGAATGTATTAATTTTACAATGGTGTGTGTTTATTTATTTATTTATTTTTTGTGTCTGTCGTCACGTTTTGGGACAGTAAAAGTTCTTTGATTTTCTTTAACGGCATCTTTTATGATAGGAAACCTGATATATATTTACATTATCAGTTGAAAAGTATTAAAAATACATAGGGATGAATTTTTTTTATAATCATTTAAAGTTCAATTCTTGACAAAATTCAAAACAAAGTTAAACCCTAGTAGTGCGTATTCTGTAACCAAATAATATAAAAGCACAGTTTTTTTTAGTTTTTTATGATTGAATGTGGACGAAATTACATATTTATATTATGATTTATGTTATTTTGTTGTAAATTAAAAATATTATTCGAGGGCACTTGAAACCCTTAAAGTATATAATTATATTTCATATACAAACAATGACTTTCGAGTGTATTTTTTTGTTATAAATGAATTTAATCTGCTGCTAAGTACTAATGCTTACAATAGTAAAATAAATTACTTTAATCACAATAATATCATCAAATATACTAAATTACTAAATAATTTTGTTTACCTTTTTAAATATTATGTCTTATATAATCTTGTAAGCTTATAAAAAATGTATCAAATATAATTTGAATTCCTTACTTTTTGACATTAAACATTTTCTTGATTTTTATTTTTGAGAAAAATTATAACCCGATTTCCAATTTACCAAGATATTTATGATAAAATGATGTAATACATTTCAATAGTGACATGTGGACACTATATTGAACACAAATATTTTCCTTCACGTTCAACGCTTTTTCAGATTTATGGATAGCTTTTGTATAATTTTGTGATAACACAATAAATCTGCTCTGCACTTATCATGAGAATAACTTTTTATACGCACTTAAATATATATTTTAAATTGTAAAATTTTCCCTTATTGTTCTATTTAATTGCCTATTCAAAACCCCTTAATTTGAGAACAATAATAAGTGTTTTTAATATGTATATTTATTAAATATTGTAAAACCAATAGCTGACACTCGGTTCTGTTGCTTAAATATAATCTTCTAATTAATATATATAATATTATTAGTGATAATAGTGATGAACTTAAAAATAAAATGCACATTTTACCATTTTTGTTTCATTTAAACCAGGGGTGTTCAACCCGCGGCTCGAGGTAGATTTTGATGCGGCCCTCACTACAATTTAAGAACCATGAATTAATTGTATATAATATATTAATATTAACGAGAACAAATTTATTTTAAGAATATAAAACATCAAATAAACTGTAAGGGCCGATGCACACGTCTGTGTTTTTACCGTTGCTTAAGGATTGCCACAACTTCGATCGATCCAGATATTGATTCATTACTTATACAAAAAAAGCCATTAATTTCACATTAAATAAAACTAATGGCTTTTAACTTTTTTGAACAAAAACTTTTTTTTTTATTATAAATAAATATTTTTTCCTGTGTACTTATCATTAAATATTAATACTTGTAAAAATATTTCTGTTTATCACTCTCTATTGTAAAATTATAAAAAATGTATTGTTGTATTATAGAATATATTTTAATCATTAAATTTGAATGTATTATTATTATTAAAAAAAGTATGTGGCCCACAACAACTTCTACATAATATGATGTCTTCACAAAAGGTTGGACCCCCTGATTTAAACCCTAGTAGTAATTATTACCAAAAGTATTACTTTCGATTGTTTATATCATGGGGATTGGAAACGGTCAAGTATTTTAACTAACATTTCGTTAAACTTATACCTATTTTTTAGTATTGACTAGTATGAATCTATAATGAATTTGTCGTATTTTGATATTTTTTAATACTGGTTAGTATGCATTTAATTCGAATAAACCCATTTTAAAAACTTCAACTATAGTAATTATGGATAATAGATATATTTACATAAGTATATAATAATATACAATAATCGTAACTATTTACTGATAACTGACGAACGGATATGAAGGGGATATACGATGTTCTAAACTTATGTTTAGAAACCTAATAGCTAAATGCCAATATGTACCAAAATTGAAATGTTATTTATCAAATTCTTTTTAAATTATACCTATAGTGTAAATTTTATTACGTTTTCTGTATAATATCTTATTAATGAAGTATCAGCTACCTATGGTATTTATTTTTATTTTCTATGATAAGAGTTAATTATTTAGCTATTTGAAGAAAAAAATATTGTTGTTTGATAGTTAGCTTACTATAATATACATAATCTATTTCTATAGTTATCAATCTACAGTTTTGAATCATTTTGTAATAGCTCGGCTATTGTGTTTTATGTTCTAATAATTACTTTAATAATTATTTTAGGTAATGTGAATCTCCACAAAATGCTTTAACAGTAAAAGACTTGTCATTTGAAAGAGTTCGAAACTTTAAGTACTTAGGAGTAGATATAAACTCGCAGGGGGACAGCCACGAAGAAATCCACAGAAGAATCGCAGCCGGAAACAAATGTTATTTTTCACTAGTCCAATTATTTAAATCTAAATTATTATCAAGAAAAACAAAAATCCGATTATATAAGACCCTTGTTAGACCAATTGTACTGTATGCCTGTGGGGCATGGGCGTCTACCAAGTCTGACGAAAACAAATTAAGGATTTTCGAAAGGAAAGTCCTGCGAAGAATATTTGGGCCGAAAAGAAATGACGAAGGTAACTATGAGATAAGGTCAAACAGAGAACTCAATGCTCTATATAACGAGTCCAATATAGTTTCCACACTCAAGAGCCAGAGAATTAGGTGGGCCGGTCACGTCTGGAGAGCAGAGGACAGACTTATATCGACCATCACGAAATGGAAGCCAGATAAAAGTCGACCGAGAGGAAGGCCTAGACAACGATGGGAGGACCGAGTTAAGGAAGACCTCAAAATGCTAGGAGTACGGAATGGAGAAGAACAGGCAGCACACAGAGAAACATGGAAGGAGATAGCGGAAGCGGCAATGGGCCTAAATGGCCTGGATTAAGCCTTAAAAAAAAAAAAAAAANTATAATTATCTGTATCTATTCTATTTATTTGTACCTGCCAACGTATATGTATAAATATATGCACCAAGGTTTTTTCTGGTGTCTTTAGTTTTTATTATAATTATCAGATTTTATGCGATGATACCTTTCATCTTTAATACAATATGTCATTTTACAGAAACATGTTATCGAAACTTTAGTTGACTAAACGCATGTAGGTACCAGCTACATGTTGTAGGCTTGTATCTATAGATAATACAGTTTTATTGTAACCAGTCAGGGATTCTCTCATATTATTAAATTTATTGAGTAGACTGATTAATTGCTACATTGTCAACTATAAAAAAACAGTTAAGTGGATGTCAAAATTCGAACTTTAAATACTCATAAAAAAAGACATGACTATGTATTTTTCATATTTTTCAACTGCTATTGTAACAAATTAACAAGAGTCTTGTATTTATTTTTCATGCTTTTTTACCCAACCTATAAAATTGTATTGATATTCATAGAAAAAAATAAAAATTGAAAATATCCGTCAACAGCTTAAAACAAGTTAAAATATTTTGAAAATGTTATCAATAGGGCTGGGATTTTAATGCACTAAAAAAACCAGAAAAATGTCCTAAAAAAAATGCTTTTATGACCTAAAAACCCCCGAAAATGCCCTAAAAAAAATGCTTTTATGATCTACAAATTTTTTTATTTTTAATAATTTTAGTATAAATTACAATAAAAAGTTTTAAAAAATGCATTATAAAAATCTATTACAAGTGTAAATTGTAAATACATAGTTTTAGTATAAATCTAAAAAAAAAGTTGATTGTCCAATAATATAATACGAATTACGAGTACCTACTTATAATCTGTTATTTTTATTTAAAAACCATGCTGGTGTAAAAATCTTAAAATCTTCAAATAAAATTTCAAATTCATACACTTGGTTTCCAAAAACTCAAAAAATGCTCCAAAAATTCTAAAATGCCCTAAAAAATTAAGAAAATGACCTAAAAACTAAAAAATGCCAAAAAATGCAAAATAAACTTTCTTATTCTCATTCAAGTGTACATAAAACAAATTTGTGACAAGACGAGCATTGCACAGTAAGCTTTGAAAAACAATGCAAAGTGCATCGAAATCCCAGCCCTAGTTATCAAGTATATGAATTTATAAAATAAACATTTGGTGTACATTTAAAATGTCTACAGTAATTTGTTTTTGAATTACAACAAAATAAGAAAATCACTACAAGACAAATCGAATATCCAATGGTGTAAAAATTTAAACTTCTAACGCTCACAAAAATTTAATTTGACTTTTCGGTGGAAATTTTTATTTTGATAAAGGTAGACAAACTCGTAAGGAATCTTGTGTTAAGTTCTTAAATTTTAGATTTAAATAGAAAATGTTTTATGAATTTCAACTAAATATAGTTTGTTTATTTTCGTGATTTTTACAAATTTTGTCCAAATTTTAAGTTTAAACACTCATAAAAAGTTATTGTGGATTTACGCTCAACTTTTTTTAAATTTCCATTAACAAGAACTTACGAGGAATCTTATATTACATTTACAATTCAAGCGAAAACATTTTTATTGACTTGGATTTAAAAAACAAATAATAATCGAAAATTTAATTTGCCTATAAATAGTTCAACACAAATCAAAATATTTTGAAAATGTTATGGTGTATAGAAAATGCTTACATAAATATTCAGTGAAAATTTCATGTATCTAAGGTCATTTTTGTTAGAGTTACACTAAAAACCAAAATCGATTTTTTCGAAAAATGTTTTTGCGTACAAATTCCTGTTTTTCTTTTTTTCTTTTGAAAACTATTGGGAATTTTAAATTTTGACCTCCCGAATGCACCAACTAGATTCACTTTCTTACCAAAAACACTGCTATTTAAGAAAATCGAAGAACTTTTACTGTAAGAAAAAATACAAAAAAATAAAAATAAATGAATATAAAAACACACATCGTTGTAAAATCAATATACATTCATCGCTCTGCTCAGAATTTAAAATGCATTTTTCAACTATACTAATTATTTTATATTTAGTCACATTATATTTGTAAATATCGTTTATTAGTCTATGGCAAAGGAAGTGAGAGTAAATTGATAAGAATGATCTAACATATTAATATATTATTTAGATAAATGTCCTTCATTTTCCTCGCCACGCAATATTGTTTGTTACATTAAGTTGAAGATACATCGACAAAGGTGATAATTGTTTTGTAACGACTTCAATGTTCAACCATTTTGATTGTTCTCTTATGGGATGTTGTTCAAACTAAATAGTATAGGTATTTTATTCCACTTTCCATCTTAGTGGTACCTAATTAGGACCAAACCGCTCACCTTAATAATCATTCAAAAACTGAAGAAAATCTTTAAAAACTTTACCACCCAAATAGCGCGTGAACAGCACAATACATTTTGCTAAACAAATGTATTTTTTATTTTATTATTTTTATCTACTTCAATAATAGTCGCTGTTCAGTGTTCAGAGACATTTTGTTTTCATACATTCAAGCAGTATAAAAAATTATTTTCGTTCTAGCCAATTAACTATTTACTATCTAGTATCCATAGGTATATAATAAAATATAATCGGACATGTCCTGACTGAAAAATGTAGAGCCTAAACTATGAGATGGATACTTAACATTTTCAAGGTGCATTCTTACCACTTGTCATGGATGTCTAAGTAAGGTTTTATAAAATTCTCGTTTTAAAAATGTTGGGATTTTTAGATTTAGTATGGATATTTACATTTCTTTTTTTAAATTGTTACCAAATTGATTACAAACTATAATAGAAATACTAGCTTATATCATATTAGTTCTTTGTCCGACTATTAATATTCTGAGAATTTTAACACCTTAAAATATTTTTCAAAGTTTAATTAAATCATTAGCTATGCATACTAAATTAGACAAACATTAGTACTTACTACAGTAGTACACTTTGATGATAACTATATTTTATTTTTCAACATACTTGTAATGCTATGAACTCTGACTATCCCTAATTGAATTAATTTATCAAAATTATTTTCATACAGGCACAATAAATAAAATATTACAGTCGAGGCTCACTGACAATATTGTTTATGTACACTGTGATGAGTGAATCTATTTTTAAATAATCTCACCTTTAACCATATTCATAAAAATACAATCTCTTTTTGTTATAAAATTAACCACTATTGACTATTATTATTCAATCATAAAATACAATAATTAAATTCATATAATTTTGCTAATTATGAATATTATATAGGTAACAGTAAATTAATTAGATTAATAATTATCAAGGCTGGGCAAGTTGATGATTTTTTTAACTCAGTTAAGTTAATATTCATCTATAAGAAAAAATTGAAAGTTAATACACATGTTTTCAATCATTTAATTAAGCTAAAAAAAGTTTATTTTTATGAATTTTTATTTTACCAACACAAAAATACATTTTAGGCATTATACACCCTATACTTTATACAGTATTTCCATTTAGCATGTATTTCATTGAAGTTTTTTGTTTCTAAAAAAAAGAACAATAGTAACTTATCTAATAAATTAGATTGGAAAAATATGAAATTTTTAACTTTACACAATTCATGGTACAGATTTTTCGACATAAAATAGTGAAATGTAATAAAATTAAAAACAAAATAAATCAACTTAACTTACTTCTTAAAATGAAAAATAAATTTAGGAAGTTAATAGTTAAGTAAATGAAAATCCAAGAGTAACTAGTTAAGTTAAAAAGTTGAAATTAAATTAACTTGTTAATGCCCAGCTTTTGTGATTATGTGGTAGTAGTCTTATAATTGTATCAAATACCTAGGTACCTAATTATTAAATATTTTTAGAAAGTGTCTTCTTTTAGCCTGATAAAATGTTGTCCATATATTATACTTTTTTGTTATTATATCTTGATTCTAGTATTTCTGTCTATATTCTACCAAACTACCGGGTAGGTAGGTATAATTTTTTTTTTTAAATTACTTATTCTTTCTCCACCCATTTCTTGCTTAGGGGGAGCAAGGGTTGTATATCTGCATGTTCTACACTTACAATTTATTAAGTACAAAATTGACAATCATCATTTATACTCTCTCCTATTACACAATTCAGATGTTAGCAATACACCCACATTTTATTTTAAAACAATAGCAACTGGCAATAGGCTTTTAATTCCACTGCAGTGTTGACGGGATAAATTTCAAAACAAAAGTAGTGAAAGGTAATTTTTTCTTAGAAACAAACAGCAAACCCATACGAACAGCTTGCATGGTTATTACATTTTAAATATCTAAATATTATAGCACTAATGCACTATTATAATACCACTATGTATGAAATGCAGCTAAGTCAGTTAGCCGGCTAGTCTAATGACATCATCTTTGGTAAGTTTTATTGGACACCATTGAAGAAAATATTTGTAGCAGTCGCTCTCAATTCTCGACAACATCGGAAAGTGAACAGCCAGAAACAACGATTGTCGAGCGAGTAGTATTAACAAACGCTATAAACGATCGTAGGATAATTATCTCCGTGCTAATGAGTAATGATTAATGAAACAGTAATGAGCACAATAAGCATAGTAAAATTAATATTACAATATATATATTATTATCATTTTAGTATTTTACTATAAAAACGAGTATATACATTTTAAAATAATATATTATAATAATATTGCGTTAAGCCGATAACAGATATAAATTGTTGTCGTTATTTTATTTTTAATACCGTCCGACCAAAATATAATTATCGTGGGTAAATATTATTTTTATTGTTATAGTTATAGCCGTGATTATTTTTATATCATATAAATTATTCTTATACACATTATACATGTTATCATCTATGTAGGCGCACGGCGCATTGATACGACGCGTTCAGGTCTAACGTCCGCCGGTCGCAATTGGCATTTCATAGCACGCAGGACAGGTTCCGGATTTCGGGAAAACTTCAACGGTAAAAAAGAAGAGTTGCCAACCTTTGTCACCGGAAACCGTATCCTCCCGGACCACGGTAGCAAATTGGAAAACTTTGGTTTACGGTAGTGCGGGACGGGTGGGGTTGGCTGTCAGGTGTACAACAACCGCCATGTCGCCATTTACCAGCGGAGGAAAGTACCAACTCACTGGTTTCTGCCGTCTAGATCAGTAGAAACACATTTCTGTCGTTCCGATTCCGTTTCGTTCTCGACTCTCCCCGCGCACTCACTCCAATCGTGCCGCGGTCGCTCTGGAGGTTGACCCGAGATTTTTTGTTTCCCGTTTTTGACGATTTACTATTTTCTTGCGACCAAATTGTTTCCGCAGTTCAAACCGGTGTGTATGGTGTACGTCATCGTGTCCGTTAGGTACATCGCCAGCTGACAAGTACACGCCATTACACGTGCCCTTTTCCGAATTCATTCGTCCGTCAATCCCTGTGAATACGCATACGCGGTAAGTTGAGACTTTTTTATATCACTGGATTCATCCGGACCGGACGCGAAGCACAACTCGGAAGTCCGGTCTGTCGCCCTTACGGTCGTAGACGAATGGCAGCGCGTCTCACTCGGGCCGTTGTGCAAACGTGCGACGATGGCGGCCGTTTTGTGTAGACCAATTTTTCCGACGTGAGGGTTCGTCGTGATATCGTAAAGATTCATTTAACGCTTAATGATGTACACGGTTGTTTTATTATTATTATTCTCGTCTATTCGTCAATTTATTATTGAACGTGTGTCGTTCAGCTATTCGAGTCTGAAAGCGCTTGGCAAAAAACCCATTTGAACTTTATTGTTTTTTGTCATTATTTGGTTGTTATAGTAAAAATATCTAAAATGTTCGACTGGTGTGCAACAATAACTATAATATTTGATTTGAATTCAGTACATTATGTTAATCAACAACTATACTCCATCCACCTTATGAAGAAATCTTGATAATCTGTCATCACTCATTGAAAATATTCAGTTAACCAATGATGGCTTGAATGTGCTGTACTTTACCCAAAAATCTTATAGCTATTAAATTGTATATTGGTTGTGTAAATTAATGAAGAAATGTATCAATTTGAATGATATATTAATAGTTTATTATATTATATTAATACTATATGCATACAGACATGGTTTTATAGTCAATGTACTTTAATTTTTAATACAGTTATCAATGACATTTATAGTTTATTTATAAACATTTATAGTAAGTTGTAAATATTCTCTCTACCATCGTTGCATTCCTTACAGATGTGTTTAAATTTATTTTTTCTACTTCAATTTTTTTCTGTGGTCGATGGTGGTCAACTCACATTGTGCTGTTTTTGTTGTGTCAACTGCATTTTTGTAATTAATGTCCATATTTTTGAATGTCTATGATTTATTGAATACTTTTATTTAATAATACTTTTTCTAAGTTTTAAAATCAATTGTTCTATTAGTATCAAAATATGCAAAAAATAACAGAAATTGAAAATCTTCATATTATCATAAAACACATTTGCATCGTATTAGATTTTAAATTTGCCATTTTCTTCTTTTAAAGATGGATTGCGTTAAGAGGACGCCACGTCGGCATGTGTTTTTGTCTTACAAACGTAGAACATAGCAAAAACTGTTTTGCGTAGACTAAAACTTCTCAAGCTGTTGTCCAAGCTAAGCAACAAGTAAATACTCTGCAACACTTTTAAAATTTTTTTTGTGATAAATACAAGAAAAGTTTTTATTGTTTAGAAATTTGTTTTATCAAACTTGAATAATTTTTTTTGTATTAATGATATCGAAAAAATAAAAACGATGTTGCACAGTAGGTAAATGTTCTCTCCTTAATAATATGAAAATTTGGTTGCTTAGCTTAGACTATAGCTTGAGTGGTTCTATTTTGCGTAAAACAGTTTTTGCTATGTTGTACATTTGTAAGACAATACATGCAGGTGTGGCCTCTTCTCAATTTCTGAGCCCTGGACTAGTTACTATTTCTATACACTGTGAGCTAACCTAATCTTGATTGTATTATATGATTATTAATAACTTATAAATCAATAGTCTAGGCTAGCAGTTCTCAAACTGTAGTACTCTGGAGGCCGCATGGTAGTAGAACGGAAAATTAAAATTAAATATTCGATTGATAATTAGATGTTATTTAATTATTTTCTTAATTCTTAAACACTAATAAATTTGTATTAATACATAAATAATAATATATTGTAGTATTTTACTCCATTTTTATTAAAAATAAATGTATTTAACTGTGTAAAGTTTGTATCGTTTTATTTTTAATCATCAGTGGTACGCGACTGATTGATAATATACTTAAGTGTTAATCGAAAAAAAAGTTTGAGAACTGCTGGTCTAGTCTATTCCAACATCACATTGTTGGTAGAAAAAATTATTTTGTTTTGGATATTTCAACATATACTAATACTACTATCCTAATATTTATACTGACTATGTATCTTTACAATTTCAGCATTTAAATTAACTTACAGTTGGCATATTTTATTCATTTTTAATGATTTTTTTTTAAATTAAAAATTTTGGTTAGGTACCTATGTTAAATATGAGATTAAATATATAAAAAAAAAGTAAAAATATTATTGAACGATATCATACTGTGATACATTTATGAGGGATGGAATAAGGTATAGTATTACCCTAGACCTTATAAGTACTATTGCATAATTTTTAATACATCTTAATTTTCCTTAAGTGTTGTTGAATCGAGATAGCTGTTAATTGTATTTGAGTGAAGAATAGGTTTTTAGTCATGTTTGTGGAGAGAGGTAGGGATTGATACATTTATATAAATTAAAATAATAAGTCTAATGTTCTTATTAGAACTATGTTCATAATATATGACAATTATAAAAATTGTAAATATACCCAATATAATTCTGGCAAAATAACAGCTTACCTATTTTGTTTTTCACTTTCACGAGCTAGGACATTTGTAATCGCAATTCATAAATTCATAATAATACATTAATACAGCATCATATAACTCGTGTTGTATATTTTACTACTTTTATGACGACATATTATACATAATAATATAATATAGACATTTAGTAATATTTATATGACTATATATCAATAGAAAATAATAATTGATCCCTAACTAATAATTCTACATTTTCTATGTATTATTCATAAACATTTTTTTGAACTATGATACCTATTTAATATTTCATAAAACAAAAAAATTATGAGTAAATAGTTATTGGTTAATATACAATTATAAATTTAACTTTTAAATACATTTGTACAAAGTAAATTTGAAGTTAACACATTAAATATGTTAAAAATATAACTTATTATGTTGAAATGTTGGTTTTTATTAAATATTTTAATATTTTTTTTGATTTCTACCATTTTATAATATTATATTGTACCTAATATAAATAAAATACTAATTAAATGTATTTAAGGCAGATCATAAATAGTAACTATACTTGCATACCTAGCTGCATGAAAAAAAACCAAATTTTACCAAGTATAATAAGTGATAATATTGTTGTCTGATAACAATAATTGTGACCTATTATCAATTATTATATTGTAACACTAAAAAGCTAATGATGCAGTGTGAACTTCATCATACTTAAATTAGGGCCAGTTGTACAGTCTGTGATTAAAGTTAATTACACTTTAACCGGCCGAATTTGGCCGGTTAAATATCTGTTATCAGCTGATTAAGCGTAATCGGAGTTTAATAACAGACTGTACAACTGGCCCTTAGTTGGCTTAGTACAGAGTGGGGGTAGTGAGTCCTGATAAATTTTAATTGTAGTTTATACATAAATTGTTTCACCGTGTACATTGGAGTAGAATATGGTGTATAATTGTACTTGTGACCACCACAATTGTAAGTATTCATAATGTATCTTAAATACTTCAAAATTGTGATTTCACTACTATGATCATGTGTTAATTAGAAAATAATCATAATTTTTTAAAAGTGTGTTGGAGATAATATGTATATTTTAGGTTTTCTGGTGGTGCAGAGTGATAATTTTGCACCATCGGATATTTTATGAGGTTGTGTATGTGAAACATTTGTACCGTACAATTTATGCCACTGTTGTGGCAATAAGACTATTAGCCTTATTAATTCAAAAGCATGAACAACTTGATTATAGACTTAAATTTGTGTTTTAATGGCACTCCAAAGTGTAATCAATTCTAAAATCATTTTCTAGGAATGGCGGGAAGAGGTTTTTTAAAGAGCCGTTTGGCTCAGGTCGCTCCTATAGAACCCCAGGAACCACCTAAACCCCATGGACATCCTAATCCTGAGGAACCTCCAAAATTAGCGGCACCACAAGTACCACACACCGATGTACCGACAATTCCAATTGCTGGTCTAAATACTCAATTCCTAGTTGCTGGTAATCAACAAGTTGCTCGCGGAAGAAGGGTAATTATTGTTGTAGTTGTTTTACTTGTAAAAATTAATTATTTATATTATTATGTTTACATTATTACATTAATATTTCAGTAGTGTATAGTATTACACAATATTAAAGACTACATAATATTATACAATTATGTTTAAACTACCTATATTTATATTAATATAATTTTACATTAGTAATATTAAATTATTGTATGTTCTAAGTGGGTTGATATTTATAATAATATACATTTAAGTAGCTGGTTAATTACTAATTTTAGTACAACTAAAGTATAAATAAACTTTTTAAAATGTTAAATATCATTTATTATTTTTTAATTGGGCTAAATTACTGAATTAAAAATTGAAGTAAAATAATTTCTAATATGAAAATATGTAAAAAAAATTGTATAATTTAATAGGTTCAAATTTATCCATATCTTTGCTTTAAATAGTGTTGGGGAGTAACTTAACTTAAGTTACAAGTTACTGTAACAAAATTACTTTTTTTGTTATATTATTACATTTTATTGTAAGTAATTTATATGTAATTCTAGTTACTTTTTGTAGTTAAATTACTAAATTACTACATTCCTCTTTATTTTTAGAATGGAATTCTTATCTGTACTGTTTAAAATAAATTTGGAAAATAAAAATTAATATGTGGCAAAATGTGTATCTGTTAATAGTTTCATATTGTTGATTGTTTTTATTTAGTTAATGTATTGTCATATTCAGAACATAGTTGCTTAAGTTCCAGTAATATTTTTGAAAAAAAAGTAACTTCTATTGTAATTGAGTTACTTTTTAAACTCAGCAGTAATGTAACTTGACCAAATAAAAAAAAAGTAGCTTAAAAATAATTTAGTTACAATTTTGATATTGAATTAGTAAAGTAATTTAATTACCAAAAAAAAGTAACTTCCTCAACACTGAATCTTAAGCCCAAATTTTATGTAGCCTATAATGTACATGTTGTTATATGGTTTAACATGTATATAAGTTTCTTTTTCGTGATGTTATACAACATACTGTTGACATATTATGTAATTACTTAGCGTGCAATAAGAAATAAAATGGAAAATTATTCAAGTTTTAATATTAATTTTTATTGTATAATTTTCTATGTATATAAATATTGTTTAATTTATTTAAAATTCTTTGTTTGCAGGCTATGCTAGCTAATATGGCTCAAGGAACTGGCTCTCCGAATTTGTGTGACAACATTTCAGCAAAATTCTCAAATATCGATCTAGGGAATTTAAAAGATATTGTGTTAGTATTATCGTATTTTCATAATTTATAAAAGATGTACTTATCAATGATTATTTAATTTAATATACCTAAAAATAAATTTTTGTATGTAAGTTTCTAAACTGAATATCATTTTCTTATTAATTCTACTGATTATTTTATTATATTTGCCTATATTAAAATTTTAGATATAATCTGTCCAGCGAGAAAACTATTATTTTGTGCATCCCTATGGGGCACCTTATCATCAAGACTGGGTAGGATCAAAACCAGTTCTTCTCTTGTTGGACAGTATAAAATTTGTGGTTTTTAGTCTCATATTATTTGTGAGCTCGATTGATAAATTACTTCATTTATTATTGTTAAGATGATTAATAATTTGTTTTTATAATACATTTATGTATATTTCTATATTTATTTAAAATAAATTGACAAAACAATTGCTTGTTTTTTCAGGCGACCAACCATAAGCCCAGAGCATAAAAAAACAGAGGTACCTAAATTACTTACACCTCCAAAGCAAGAACAAACACAAATTGTAGATATTCCAGCAGCAAAGGAAGAAAAGTCTCCAGTTATATGTAGAGTCTTAAAAAAGTCTGAAAAAGATGCTTACCAAATGTATGATAAATACACCCGTTTTGCTTATTGATAATCATTTTTAAGATTTAAGTAGAAGAATGTATTACGATGAATTGTTCACTAAAAAATATTTTTAATATACCTAATATTTATTTTTTTATAACTACATGTTCTAAAATATTTTTAATTATAAATTTTGTGGTCTCCTATTTTTGTTTTAAATTAAATTTTTTTTTTAGGACTCAATTATCATCGAATTACATTAGAATTAAATTAGAAGAAGACAAAGGAATATATGAATATAGAGTCGATTTTAATCCTCCAGTTGATGCCAAATCTGCCAGGTTTTTTTTGGTGAATGAACACAGAGATTTATTTCCTGTAAAAACATTTGATGGAACATTACTTTATGTGCCAAAAATGCTACCACAAAATGTAATTATTAAATAAAAATTTAAAAAAACAAATTTTAATAACAAATGTTGAAATTTTTTACTAGGTAACAACATTAGTGGGAACATTAAGAGATGACTCTAAAGTGACTTTAACAATAACCTTTAAACGTAAAAATTCTTTGCGTGAATGTATTCATTTTTATAATGTTTTCCTACGCACAATAATGAAGATCCTTGGTTTAGTAGAATTTGGTAGAAGTTGTTACGATCAAAATAAAAGAATACTCATTCCTGAATTCAAGTAGACAAATCTGCTTTTAAATACTTGTGGTATTGACATTAATTGAATAATTTTTTGAATATTTATTTTAGACTTGAAGTTTGGCCAGGGTACATAACTACTATTGACGAATTTGAAAATGGTCTTTATATGTGTGCTGAGGTATCACACAGAGTTTTACGCGTACAAACAGTTCTTCAAATAATGTAAGCATATTAATTATTTTTTTAAATGTATATAAGCCTTTTAACTATTACGGTTATTGGTGTTTTTAACATATTCATTAGATTTAATATTTATAAGCTTATTAATATTTTTCGATAATATGAATTAGATTTTTTTTTACCTATTTAATATATTGTGTAATATACTAATATGATATAATAAAGTTGCGCTTTATGGTTGCTCATTTTAAAATTCTAAACAATGTCTTAGTAGCTAAAACAGACATTGATTGTAAAACAAAAAGTACACCTTAATAATTAAATTTTTATTTTATAAAGTTTCAGCAATTCTTAGGAAACTGAAACTTACCTTTAAATGGTAAACATTGATTTTTTGTTTAATACATAGTTTCTCTAAAATACAATTCATATATTATTTGTGAACTAACTAGATTTTATCCAACTAATGTCAAATAAATTAAACATATTATTTTTGTTTTGGCCTTGCTTGTTTCAAATTTTTTTTTAAATATTTTCTAATGTAAAAAAAAAGTGTAAATATTTTTTTATGTGTGATACTTCAATTTTATTATAAAATAAAGCCACATATGGAAAAGCTCCTTTTAGATATTATATAATTGTTTTGTTATAATAATAGCTCTTATTTAATATAATACTGTTAACCGATAAAATTAATAATTCTCAAGTTATTTTGTTTGTCGGGTATTATATTAATATATTTATAGTTAAAATGTGAATATAATTATTCTGTTATTTAACGTATACTTGAAATTTTATAACTAAGAAGCTATGTACTAGCAAGATTTTATTTTAAAAACCTTATTTGTATATTTTCATAGGACGGACATTATGATGAATTCGAAAAACAACAATACAGATAGTAAGCAAGAAATAATGGCTGCATTGTGTGGTGCTACAGTAATTACACATTATAACCGTAAAACATACAGAGTTGATGATGTAGACTTTACAATGAATCCTTTATCAACTTTTGACCAACATGGTGTTCAAGTAAGTAATATTCATTTCAACTTGTTCCTTCATGTTACTTCATTTTTTATTTCTCTGTTTAGGTCTCATATAAAGATTATTATAAGAAAATGTACGACATTGAAATTAAAAATCTTCAACAGCCTATGATGATAACAAAAGCCAAAAAAAAAGATATAAATAATAAAAATGATAATGTTGGTAATTAAAGAGACAAATTAAAATCATTTTATCATCAATATTATTTTAAATTTTCAGGAAGGTATTTGTTGCTTGGTCCCTGAACTTTGTAATTTAACTGGGCTTACTGAAGCAATGAAAACCGATTTTAAATTGATGAAGGCTCTTCAAAACCATACTTTGGTTACACCAGAAGTGCGACAAAAGGCTATAGTTGAATTTGTGAATCGTATAAATGGTATAACGTTTATTTTATGCCTACTTAAACTTTATTAAATTCTTTAATATAATATGTTTCAAAAAATATTATCATTATTATTATTTACTATTCATTTAATTTGTCGACAAATATTGCAGTTTGTATTATATTATATTAAAGTGTAATAAATAAAAATTAAAGAGCGGATTATTAGGTTCCTTAAAGTTTAAAATATGATTCTAATATACCCTATAAAAAACCTTAAAATATTCTCTTAATAATCCACAAAATGGTTGCAATAGAAACATATTATGTAATGCATATAGTATAAATTTACTTAATCCGAATAAATTTATAATATTTACATTTGTCATCCATTTATTGCACACCGTGTAATAATTATAACATACGTTTTCTTTGCAAATTATTTAAATTAAGTCATACTTGATTTCAATAAAAAACATTCTATAGAACAATTTTTATTATTTGTCATTATTAAATTTTTTTCATATGACGAAATATTTCAATTCAAGAAATGAACATTTATGACTTATGAACAAACAATACAATATATTCTTAAATGTGAAATACAAACTGAATAATTTTTTTACCTTAAAAATATGCTGTTATACGTCAAAATAATTTTTTCTTATTAATTCTGTACTGAATAAGTTGTCCTGGTTGTTTGCTTATGTTGAGCTGCCATGAACTTAGTTCGCAGAGTATGTGGCTGATAAAATGTGCCTCTCCCCCTCACAGATATAAATGTCTCTAAAATTAATGTGCATGATATTGTATTATAAACTTATGGTTACTGCTTGTTTCTACTTTATATTAGAAAAAAATAGGTTTTTCATATTTTATTGACTATAATTCAAGCCTCCTCTTCAATGGGAAGTATACTCAATTTGATTATAAAGATATTTTTCAATTTATCAGTGTCACTTCATGCCGAACCACCGGCAAAATGAAAATAAATCGATCAGCTGTTTGACTGTCACTCCTTTAATATTCTATGGTATTAACTACTCAACTATAATAAACATAATATATTATATTATATTTGTATTGTATTAATCATCAGTATTTAACATGGTTAAAGATACACTCAGATATATTTAAGGTATATCTCATATTGTGGTATTTAGACATTGTTAAGTTAAATAATAGATGTCATGATAGAAATAACCATTGTCATTTCTAGGAAAATATAAATAGTAAATACATACCTACACTAAAAATAAAACCCATATTTCCTTAAATTATTGAGAACCGTCCAAAATTAATTTAAAAACACGCCCATACTCCATATCGATATCGCATTACCATTTTATAACCCAGTCAAAATTATGAACTGAGACATTGTTCATCTGCCCCCAATATGCATACCCTGCATACCCCGTGGGCACGCCTATGCAGAGCTGCATAAAGTCCAAAATTATTTGTAAAGACCTAAAAATTCGCTCTAGTGACAATCAACACATTTTACCCTAAAATTATGTTCAATAAAAACATTTTATTTTTAATCAATTTTTTAGCTCATGAAGGAGCTAGTAAGAAACTTAAAGATTGGGGTCTTATGATGCGGCCAGTCCCAGTGAAAATGGAAGGTCCTGTTTATAAAAGAGAAACTATATTACTGGGGAATAGTATCAGAAAACAAGTTGGAATGAATATGGACTGGGGAATGGATGTAGCAAAAAATGCAATGTTTGTGGCTGTAAGTATTTAAAAATATGTAAGAGATAAATCTTGCAGTTTGTAGTTAATTCGTAATCTTTAAACTTTAACCTCTAAAAAATAATAAAAATAATTTAGTTCTAAATATTACTTTTTTATAAAATGTTATTATTTTACAGGTAAATATGTTAAATTGGGCCATTATGTATAATCCAAAAGATGAGCCAACGGCTAAATCATTTTGCAAACAATTGGCTGCATGCGGCCGTCCACTTGGTATGGAAATTAATCCTCCAAAGCCAATTAAAATTCAGGGGACAACTCCAGAGTCTTTCGTTAGCACCATAAACAATACAATAAAAAATAATTCAGAAATACAATTAGTTGTTATTATATTTCCCAATCAAAGAGAAGACCGATATAATGCTGTCAAACGGATTTGTTGTTCAGAAATTGGAATTCCATCTCAAGTAATAATATGATTTACAATTTAACTTATAATTATCATTACTATATTTTACTGTATTTTATATTTTAGGTAATAATCTCAAGGACATTATCTAAGCCAGAGCGATTGCAATCAATTACTCAGAAGATTGCTTTACAAATTAATTGTAAATTAGGAGGTGCTTGTTGGGCTATTGACATTCCATTGGTAAGGTTTTCCTAGATTAAATTGTTCTCTAAATAAATATTATGATGTTCATTTTTAACTATTGATAATCATTTATTTTAATTGTGAAATATTTTATTAACTTAAGATGGTCAATAGCGAAATTAAATATCTGTCTTACCTTCATATTATACTAAACTATGTATCCCAAAGCAAAATTAAAAGTAACTGTCTAAGTTGTCAATACTATAAATAGATAAAATGTCATATTTTGTTGCTAAATTTTTTCTTTTATTTTTTTAGAAAAATACTATGATAGTAGGAATTGATGTTTACCATGAAAAAGGTAAACAAACAAGTAGTGTTGTTGGTTTTGTAGCTTCAATGGATAAGACATTTACTGAATGGTATTCTGTAGCTGCAATGCAAAGGAGTACTCATCAAGAACTTATGAAATCTGTGCAAGATGCGTTTCATAAAGTCGTGGTCCAATTTAAAGCAGTTAGTTTTTTTTCATTGTTATAATTTATGTTGTAATATTTATTTATAATTAATTACAATTCTTTATTCTAGAAAAATGGGTTGTTGCCTGAAAAAATAATTATATATAGAGATGGTGTATCTGATGGGGATTTAAAACAAGTAGAAGAAATTGAACTATCAGATTTAATTGAATCTTTCAAAAGTTACCCAGGAAATTATAATCCTATGGTTTCTTTAATAATTGTTCAGAAACGTATTAACACTAGAGTTTTCCAGGTAATTTATCAAATCACAACATTGAATTATTAACACACTTAAAATAACCTATTATTTTGATTACAAATATTAGGAAAAAAAAAATATGACAGTGTGTGAGAAAAAAATGTCTTTGTTATTGATTTGGGTTAGAGGATGCTACACCTGCGTGTGTGGTTTTACTAACGTTTAACAGCAAATTGTATGATAATCTATTTTACTTGTTATTTTTAAATCAGAGTGAATTGACCGATCGTAGGGTTTTATTGAAATTATTACATTTATGTTACATATGATAATTTTAAAATGTAAAAAAATGTATAGTTTCTTAAAGGTCATAACTTTTTGTAATAATAAAAATATCAATTGAAGCTTCTGAGATGCCCTAGCCCTAGATCAAGAGTTTTCAACCTTTTACAACAAGTGAGTGAGGGTACATGAAAAATTAAAAATAAAGAGTATTTAGTGTTTGTCTATTATTTGTTTAGGTTATATTATTACATGCAGCATAAATAATAATAAATTGTATAATATCCAATATTATTTTGTTATTTTTACCAACCGAAAAATGGTATGTTTTTCATCGCTAATAAATACTCAACTCTGTGTATAATGTGCAAACCTGTATTTAAGATTACGTACATTATTAACTGATATTGGGATAATATATGATTGACTAGTTGACAATGGACCTTGATCTTACCTTCGAATGTTATATTATTTCAATTCACTCTAATTTTAAAATTTACCGTTTAAAATATATCATTGTGGATGTGCAATTTGCTACATTTACTTATGTAAGACTGACATAACGTGTAGATGTGGCATCCTCTTTAAGCATTCTTCTAATATAACGAGTATTATATTATTGAAGAAAATTCTTTCTTTACATTTAACGATATCATTGTTAGCTATCAATTATTTTATAATTTGATATAATTGATCAGTTATAAATAAATAATAAGTTATTTCATAATCAACATGGAAATGCATTATGCTTATAATATTATTTTGATTTGGTCTGCTTATTAAATTACCAAAATTGCATATGGTTAGTTAATTTATGTAAATACGAACATGTCTTTTTTATGAAATATTTAATTTGTACAACCTTAACATTTTTGTTATGTCTAGTATGTAAATGAAAAGTATTCAAATCCAAGTTCTGGAACTGTTATTGATAATACTGTAACCAGAAGAAATCATTTTGATTTTTTCTTGGTTTCTCAACATGTTCGTCAGGTAAAGTATAATTCTTTTCAAAAATACTGTTCTTCTAATTTATTTGTTTATTTTTTTATGATTAGTTATTAAAATGTTTTTTTATATGCAGGGCACTGTTAACCCTACTCATTACATTGTTCTAAAAAATGGATGTAATCTTAGTGTAGAAAATGTCCAGCGATTATCCTACAAGTTGTGTCACTTGTATTATAATTGGTGTGGTACTGTGAAAGTTCCCGCTCCTGTTCAAGTAAATATAATGAATATTCAATTATTTAGATATGAATACAACATATTTTGTTGAAACTTTGATCATGAATTCTAAAATGGATTTAGTTATATAAGTACAGTGAAACATGTTAAAAGACAAAATTGTCCAATGCATGATTGTGACAAGGTGTATATTATCATAATAGTCTGTATTGAAAGCAAGCAAATAAAAGTCATACATCTATCAATGTGTATTACTGATAACATGTCACACCATGTTGTGGCTCAGTTAGATGTTTATGAACATTTATTCTTAAATGCATTAGTATTTTATTATATTGGCTTCATCAATATTTATGATCTGAATATTTAACAGGTTTTTTTTTTAATCATTATTCATATCCTATTTAAGCATTTCAAGTATACAAAAGTTTCTTTTTATTTCTTTTAGTGTAAACTTCGGGGGTTCTATTCTTTAATAACATTGATTTCTGCATAAATAAAATAAAATTTATTTAAAATGCTAGAAGTAGTACTTGTATTGTTACCAAAGTATTTTAAGTGTCTAAAAAAAACAAAAAAAAAAAAAACAATTAATAATACATTGGTAACATAATTTAGTCATTATATACAAATGTGAAGCTATAATAAATTCATAAAATAGTTTCTTTTGAGAACAAATTTCACTGTAATAATATATGATAATATTTTACATAGTATATTATACTATATTCATTATTTAAGCATGTGTTATTTTCTTATTGATTAAATATTATTAGTATTATTTTTAATTTTAATATTTTTTTTTTTTTAGTATGCACATAAACTAGCATACCTTATAGGGCAAAATGTTAGACAAATGCCAAGTGAAGGTTTGTGCAACTCCTTATTTTTCCTATAACGAACATGTACAAATTTCAGCGACCAGGAAGGTCTTTTCAGTTTATATTTACATTAACATATTTACACTATTAACTATTTTTGATCATCAAGACTATTACTGCAATGGAATACAATTGTAAACAATTATTACTTTTCTATTTTTTTCTCAGTGATAATTTTCACTGATTTTGTAAATGTATAAAATATTCAAATGACTTACATGAAAAACCTTTGTTCCAAATGTTATGTACTTTGGTTTAAGAAGTAAATTACCTTTTTTTAATGCTGCAAAAAACTTGTTTTATTTTTTCAATATTATTTGTTATAATGTGTGACTCACGAGTTATGAATCAGCTACATATTTTATGGTAAATAACAGAAGTGAAATGCTACTGATTAGGAATAAAGAACAAGTCTAAAAGAAAAAAAATTATTGTGCTCAAACAAAAACAAAAAATGATAAATCCTAATTATTAAATAAAAAGTAAGTTATAAATAAGTTAGTTTCATATTTAGTACAAAAACATTATTGCAGAACCTGTTTTCTTTCGATCTTCTAAGCATCACTTTTGAGTTGTGTGTAAAAATCTAGCTTACATCATGTCTCTCTAGAGTTTTTTGTGTTATTTAGAATTAGATGATTGATCTCATATCAAATATAATATTTTATTCAACTTAAATGTATCAACCTACTTCATTTTTTATATTTTTTTATGGTCTGAATTTTACACGGACAGCTTGACCATAACTAATTAGTGCTACATGAATTGCATTTATTATAATTACACATTATTATATTAATATTGTTGAGAATTGTATTAAATTGATTATTTTAGGGATTGGGACCTAAACATTTTACTATTTAATAATTTTTTTTAATTTGCTATATGCGGGTGTTCTTTGGTTTGTCTATATTAATTTAAGACATATTCGATTGTTATTAAGGTTGACATTAAGGGAATTCAAGAATTCATATTAGATCTAGCCAGATTAATTTGTAATTTTTTTTATGTTAACCTTGGGTTTCATTTTCACCTTAATACTATGAACATTCCATCATACCCACCAATTGCCAAATTTTAATATTTCTTTTTGCTGTCAGTATTTTCATTGTCATGTTAATAACACAGTTTAACTTATTTATTAATTTAATAATTATCCATTTTAATTTTGGTTTCACTTTTCACACTTAATTCTTTTTAGATCCTAAATTGAGCTCTGAATATTCTGATTTTATAATGATTTGTTTTAAAAAAAATTGTTTTGGGTATATATACAGTGTACTCTCGATTATTCGCGAGCGGACTATTCGCGTTGCGTATTATCCGCCGTCTTCCGCGGAATCATCTACATACGACATACATACTACATAGTTTTTCGTGGTTTCAACTTTTGCGCGATCGCGCACCGCGCAATCACGCACGCGTGATTGTAGGAAACCACGGCTTAAATGTATACAAAGAATATAATATATACATTCATATATTTACATTATAAATCATTATCGGTTTAATCGGGTGATAATTTGTGAAAGCCGATTACTCGATAACGACGTAAAATACATTACGCTTGTTTAATGTTTACGGGGGAAAAAAAATTTCAATTTCCAATTTTTTTTTTATTATTTTTTTAATTTTGAGGATTGTCCGCGGAATTCGTTTATCCGTAGACGCCCTGCCACCCTATTCCGCGGATAATCGAGAGTACACTGTACACAATACATGTCGAAAAATGGTTCAATGTTCAACTTCAGTATATTATCTGGTAGAAAGTGAATCTAGTTGGTAGGTAATTTAAGAGTACTAAATTGAATATTCACTGTAGTTTTTGATAAACCAAAAAAAAATACAATTAAGGAAAATTGGTTTTTTTTTTGTAAAATCAGTTTACAACAAAACTGATACTATCTTTTTTGCATTTCATAACACTTTCCATTTTCAAGAAATGTTTATACTAGTATTTTCTGTACCTCATAATAGTTTAAAACAAGATAGTCTCTCCAGCTTTTTCAGTATAGATATTCGTGCTTAATAACTCCTAAATATTAGGGATGGGCCGATACTATATATCGCCATATCGGCCGATATCGGTGATATCGGTTTTATCGGTATCGGTTTTTTTTCAAAACCGATATTTCAACCGATACCAAAAACAAAAACCTATCGATCAGCATAGTATTGATAGTATCGTAATTCACAAATGCACAGGTTAGGTTATCAATAATCAAATACTATAGATTATTTTATAATAATCAATGTTTTCACTTTTCTAGGTAATATTTGTGTTATCAGGTATCGGTTTTGTTATATATCGATTTTATGGCGGTATCGGCTCATGTTTTTTCTGTCAAAAATGTTGTTTAAACATTTCCATATATTATCGGGTATCGGTTTTATATCGGCAGCATATATCGGAATATCGGATATCGGTAATAAGTGGTATCGGCCCATCCCTACTAAATATCTTAACTAGTTTCTTAACAGCGATTTGTTGGTTGCCATCAAAAACTTAGTCTTCCCAATCTGATATTTTAACGTATAGCAAAACTTTGGTTGCATCTTTTAACCTAACCTAACCTAGCAAATAAAGAAAATATAATAACGCCTTGACGTTCCTGTTATCTTTAAACATTATTTACCTATATAATAACATCGAATAGTAGTTACACATTATTTACTTATCAAATTGAATTTAGTAATTTATGTTTATTTTGCATTTAAGTAATTTATTCGAGCACAATGTAATAGGTAATATATACAAATATTATGAACTATTAATAGCTACACTTAAAATCATATTATCATAAAAAATTCAATTTTATTGGTACATAGTAAATACCTACCTACCGATTTCTGATGTAGCCTATACGATTTTGAATGCATCTGATTGTGTTATGTATATCTGGAGAAACTGTCAAAGGTCCCTTTTCAATGTAATGTGTTCGTCATGTCAGGAAACAAAACCTGTTATGAGGCGAAAGTATTTTTTGATAGTACGATCTTAATTGTTGTAAGTGTTTCGTATAAAAGTAATTTGATGATATTTTGACTATGATATTAGAGCAGTGATCACAGAATACAGAATGAAGAGACTGCTTCTTTACTAACTGATACAATAGAATCTCTAGATTTCATTATTCCTAGAGATTGGCCAATTTGTACAGCATATTTCTGATGTTTGTCACAGTTTTTTAAGAAATCTACATTGCATTCATTGATTTCTGAAAAAAATATACATACAATTAGAAATTAGAATTTGCTTTTGCATTACCTATTTAATCAAAGAAAGATTGTTTTTAAATGGATGTCAAAAATGGTTATTTTCTTTAAAATAAAATAAATATTAACTTTCACTGTAAACTAAATATGCAGAGAAGGAGTATATTGTATACAGTGTATAATGTCTTAACGAACGCTTCCCAATATCGGACATTTCCTTAGGAACCAATTACAAACTATTTCTACAATCTGAATCCTCTGAGTAGCGGATAACTCCGAATATAGGACAATATTTCAGCGACCTAGGGTGTCCAGTATTTAGAGGTTTCACTGAGTATAAAATATAAATAAAATATAAATCTATATACCTCCTACACGGCTACACATAAATGCCTATATTTACATATTACTTAACAGTTAACGATATCTTACTAATTTTATTAACAAATGGGGAACCCGTTCGATCAAACCTTAAAATAAAAAAACTCACATCTTGAGACCTCTACATAATATATTTTATCTGTTTACAAACGGGTTTTATCTAGATGTTTGTATATCAAATAATATGGAAAACATTGTACCTACATAACAACATTATTAGAATTAAATTGCTCGTGGTGATATTATAATGTACCGATGTCCTACAATGCGAGAATGCAACCAATAAAATAATATAAATCGTTGGTAATTGAAAACATCGTACCGGGAGAGGAAAATACTGGAAAAATTCCTCGGTGTAAGTGACATTGCCGAGCCACCCTTTGATTATCGGTTACGGCGAGAATGATGCTTCGTGGTCTGTACATTGCAACTGCGTGTGCTATACAACCGGACTGGTCAATTACAATAATAGCTGCTGCGCTCTGATTGTCGGCCAACGTTACGGCTTCCAAGGCTAGCATAATATTTGTAGCGTCTTTAGAAGTTCTTTTGGCCTATACAATTGCAGCAGGTCAGATTTAAAGTGAATACATATTTATAAAGTCAAACGATAAACGCACAAAAACACAATTTAATACCATATAATACCCACTTCAAGTATATAATATATTGGGTTGTACCTACGCACAACATTTAATTACTATTCCAGTTACAATTATATAATATGGTTAGTGTGTCTCTTACAACTTTCAAATATTTACAATAATTTTAAAACCCTTTTGCTGTTTAAAAAAATAAAATGTGCTCTTTTATTATAGTCATTATTTTGGCAGCCCTTATTAATTTAGAAAAACTATATTATTATAACTTAATACCCCCCCCCCCTCTTTAGAGTATTAAACAATACTATATTTCTTAATAGGACAGAGTCTAAGAAATCATTAATGCCCACACATCGAGCCATCGAATAATGAAATACTTTTTAGGGAGAATTTACTATATTAAATGCATGCATTTACGATGTACCTACCTATAACAAATTACATTTATACAAAATACTTACTAGACTTAAAACCATATCATGATAAAACTCCTTTCGCCACATAGCAGATTCGGCTTCCCGACATAATTTGTCCATTGTTCGAACACATTCAATTGGAAACTGACCTTTGGCTGTTTCTCCTGATAACATAACACAGTCTGCCCCGTCCAAAATCGCGTTGGCTACGTCAGAACATTCAGCCCTCGTCGCTCGTGGTTTTTTGGTCATTGAGTCCAACATTTGTGTTGCACAAATTCCTGGCTTCCCGGCCTTAAATTATATACTATATAATGCCTATACTATAATTTTGAACGTCAAATTAACAAGGATCGACTTATATACTTTATACTTACAATATTACACTGTGCCAAAATAGATTTTTGAGCTAAAAATACTTTTTCTGGAGGAATCTCGATACCCAGGTCACCTCTTGCTACCATAATACCGTCAGATATTTCGATTATAGATGGTAAATTTTGTACACCTTGGTGGCTCTCAATTTTTGAAACGATTAATATGTGCTTATTGCGTTCACCTAAAATTTAGTACTACTTAGTGACACAGTTAAATAGTGTTAACTGGTAACTGCCCTTTTTTTTTCCTGTTTGAACCGACGGCGCCGCGGGAACTGCGTTCGCATTACTGCCGCGACGCCGAACTGGTAACTGCCCTACCCTAACCTATACACGTACCCAAAATGTTACGTATTTCGTTTACCGCCGATCTATCTCTGATGAACGATGCAAATATCATATCTAGATCATTGTCTCCCGCAAATTGTATATCACATTTATCTTTTTCTGATATAGCTGGTAAATCTACATCCAAGCCTGGTAGATTAATTCCTTTACGGCTACCCAAAATGCCTTCGTTCTCAACCATACAATCAACATAGTTTTTACCTATATAGCGTAAAATGTTATTTCAGTCTAGTCGATAATAAAGTAAACTTTACTTGCTCACCAATTTTCTTAGCTGTCATTAAAATCAAACCATCGTCCACGTATAGTCTATCGTTTTCTTTCAAGATTTTAGTTATATTTTTGTAATCAACATACACTAGTTTATTTGAACATTTATTTTCAAATTGTTTATCCGTCGATAAGCGAATTGTATCGCCTTTATTCAACTTGATCTCTTTAGATGCCCCATTTTTCCCGTCAAACACACCTGTCCGAATCTCCGGACCTTTGGTGTCTAAAGCAATAGCTAATGGATAGTCCATACATATTTTTTCACTATAGCTTTTTACTGCTTTTCTTAGGTTTTCTACAGTCTTTAAATGATAATCGTGAGATCCATGTGAAAAATTCAACCGAGCTATGTTCATTCCAGCATCCATCAGCTTCTCTAATATTTTCACATCTGCTGAAGCAGGTCCTATTGTTTATTTTACATACAGTTAGTAAAAATTCCTTTAAAGTTTAATTTACAACAAAACTTTTACAAACCTATAGTACAAATGATACTCGAATGACGTAATGAATGAGTCTTACTGTTGATGTTTAATGAACACTTGTATTGTAGTGAAGTATCGGAATCATTACCACACAGATATGTTTTATCTAACTGTAGCTTTCCCTTAATGTTACAAATATATATTTTATTTTATATTATTATATTCTTTGAATCAATTTGATTGGCTTACTTTAATTGGATCATTAATGAATGGTTGTTTCCAAGTAAATTTAGACACACTTTTATGAAATATTTTTTTGAATATATAATTTTGAAACACAATTGGTTTTACAAATTTTGTACATTTATTCAAAAACATAATTTTGATAAATAATTTATTTTAAGAATAAATCTTTGTTTACATCTTTATACATTTAATATTCAATATTTATACTGAGTAAATAGTTTTCAGGTCAACGTTACCACACATTATGAATAATTATAGTGGTCAGATGTACTTTTTTATTGCTTTCTCTTATAATTGTTTTACTAGTGTTCAATTATTGTGTTAAGTAGTAAGTAGTAAGAACAAATAACTGTACTCTTATTTTGATAATATCTTATCCCAATATTATTTTTCATCATTTAACTATTCATCTATATTTTATGGTTTGAAATATAATGAAATTACGCTTATTATTAGAATACCTCAAACATTTTTTTATTAATAAAACATTTTAAAAACTTTTTTCCCCATTGCAATTTCTAAAAATACATTCTTAATTTTTAGAATAATTAATTAAAACTGACTTGAAGGATCCAAAAATGAAATTGGTTTTCAAAATATTATTAGAGGACTAAAACTCAAGTCAACACGTTGGAAGTTGTGTTTATTTTTCTGCAAAAAAATGGTAATCATATTATATTTGTGTGGAATCCCCTTAATAATGAATTTATTCGAAATGTGATTTTTAAAATATTAAAATATACTTAAAGATCATTTAATTTCTTGACATTTTTTTCATAATATTTTGAGTATTTTGTGGAAAAACAAACTTCAGTTTTTCAAATAAGAACTTTTTTACTGTAAATTATTTATTAGTGGATCTTTTTTTTTGAAAAATTTGATGTACCTGCTTCGAAATTCAAACGAGTACCTTATTAGTTGTTGATAGGGCTGAATATATTTTTACTGCTATTAAATAATTTAATTTGGGCTATTCAATTCAAATGATTTGTAATAAAATGAGCCATACTTGATGAGAATATTAAAAAAAATATATTTCTCAATAGTTCCATTTTTTCCTACATATTAACACTTTTTAATAATATACGATTGTATTTGTCAATTGTATAAATTATAAACTAGTCGTAATTTTTTGATAATTTCATGTTTCCAAAAGTATTCGTACATAATAATATCAGTCTTGAAATCTAATTTATAGTCGATATCAATTTTGGAATTTTTAAGGATACAATAAAGTAACTAGAACTACAACATATTATCTTAGATGAAAGTTTAAGACTCAGAGAAGAAGCGATAAATATATAAAACAAATACAAAGGTCATTGAGAGTATAGCAGCAAAAGAAAAAATCCTGGCATAAACTGCCTAAAATTAATCAGTGATATCCATTTCCGAATCAATGGGGTATCATTGCAGGCTGCGCTCACTCCTTTAGACATTGAAAATATGAAATGTACCAATTAAATCTATCGAAGTCAATCGTTCTTTTAGTCTGTATAAATCTGTAACAAAACCATTGAGCACTGAACTTTGAACATTTGAGAATAAATATTGTACATACTATATGGCATCTCTTTGCAATAAAGATCCAGTTGATATTAAATTATGTACAAAATATAATTTTTTGTATATTTTTTACACATACCTACCTAATTATATATTTACATATTTTGTTTTATCATCCGAAGTTCTGGAATGAGCCACAAGGATTAAGTACATGGTGCTATTTATAATTCATTTAAAAGTAGTATAGGCTCAGCCCAATATGGTAAGATGGATTTAACCTATTATGATGAGTTGTTGATTGATTTATTGAACCATATTGCAATAGTGGTAAATTAATGGAAAATATAATAACACAAGTTAAGTTAAATGAACTGAACACAAGATATAAATATCATTTTTAGACATTAACAAATAATACATTTAACACAATAAGGCGTTTAATACTAATTTGAAAAAATTATTAACCTAACCCAGTAAAAGTTAATCTTCCTTTTTAATTAACTATTAAATGGATCACAAAAATATTATAAAGAGTCAGTCTTGAAAAGAATACTTTAATTTTGTATTAGGAATACGTATTTAAATGAAAAAGTAGGTATTTAAGTATTCCGAATACATTTAAAAATATGTTTTCTGAATACATATTTGAATATACTTTTTTTTCCTAGCAAATTTCTACAATAAATTAAAATACCTAGTTAGTTAAGTTTATAAGAAAATGTACTGAATAATTAACTTAAAAAGTTTAAGAAAATTATTTTTTTTAACTTAAAGTTTTGTTATATGAATGATAAAATTCTTAATAAGGTGCTAGTTAATCTTTTTGATATAGTATATACGGACATAATATAATATCGTCAAAGTCCGGTGTCTCGGTAAAAATGCATACCTATTACCTATACAAACATGAAACAACATAAAGCTTACATAATATGTTTACAGTATTACATCCATTTTAGGTAGAATCGAAAAAACAACAAAATATAAACAAAAAACTATTGACCGATTCATATTTTCGAAACCGGTACTTGCTTCGAAAACAAGTGAAAACGAGTAATCATTAAGTATTGTAAAAACCATTGGTATACTCGTATTTTTTTTTTTACTTTTTCCCGTAGGTGAAGACGTAGCTACGTAGGTAAGTAGTTATTCAGGGAACAACCCTAAACAATTTTCGTAAACAAAATCGCTTCAGCGTTATTCAGGTCATGGATGTTTATATACTGCAGCCATGCGTAAATCGCGATGTTGGTCTTCAATTCACCATAACAATAACTATGGTTTTTAAATTTTTGTATTTATTTAGATGCCTACTTATACTTAATTTACCAGCGTTTATAAATCGGTGTAAGGTTGTATTGGATAATTAATATTGAACGATGTTTCAAATAATAATCGCTTAATAATCGCATAATCGTTTACTTAAAATTGTCAAAATGAATGAATAAGCTTACTGTCTTAGATCTATGGCATGATCATCGAATAAATTATGTTATATTTAAATACTAGATGTATATAATATCAAACTGAATCTGACTGTGATCATAAAAATATGATAAGGATGGTATTATATCTAAGTATAATAGTTATGTATTTATGTGTAAAAATGGAAAATGCAAATAACAAATAATCATGATCCCATAAAAATGTAAATACTTATATGTACCTACCTATTTTAAAATTATTTCCTAGGATCGTTTCCTGATGGTAACGATGGTAAATATTTGAACTTAAGTTAATACTACCAGAATTACCTTATTTTTCAGTTGTATATATAATTAATATGGTTTAAATAATAATAATCTATTCTTTTTAGGGATCTTTTAATGCGTTCAGTGTTGTTTCCCTTAGATGTTGTATATTTTTGATACATAAAATTCTCATAAAATACACAAATTATTTTCTACGTTTCCTGCTAGAATTCTGGATGGTCAGGAAAGGTTTAAGGGGAGGGGTAATGGATTTAGAACCTTCTTTATAGTATAATTAGTAACTAAATAAAATAAAACACACATTTTAACTGAAATAACTAGAGATTTTCTGATTATGTAATTTAAAAATAATAATACTGAGCAGTTAAGATAATATACCCTCAGTGTGATCCCGGATAGTGTGGAATGTGGGTCCTATGAATAGCTAAGGAATACAGATTAAAAAAATTTAAATATATATACTATGTGTCTTTGAATATTATTTAGAAATATTTAATGAAAATTTGAAATATAATTCAAAATGTAAAATTGAACATTTTAGGTTACTACTGATAAATATTTAAATTTATAGTTCTTGGGGTTGTTTATTGTATGCAAATTATTAGTCTGTATGTGTAATACATTGTTAGATAATGTGCTTGTAATGTATAGTAAATACGTTCTACTGGACTATACTGTGCTTTATGACATTTAAAATGTTTATGAAATATACAAACTAATTGCTCACATCAAAATCACGTACATATTATATTATGTGTTATCTAAGATCATTATCATAGATAATGTGTAATACGATGAATATTAATTTATGTATAACTGTGTGAAATTGAGGAGAATTATGATGTTATCTCATAGAAAATATCGATTACAGTTATTTTATTAGACACTAATGATCAAATCACCTCGAAAGACCAATAATGATCATTTAATCGATACTTATTTTATAACAGTCTAACTCCTTGAAATAACTTGATAGGCAACTCATTGTGGTATGCTGCAGTTGTTTGCGAAAACTAAAATAGCGAAAGTAACAATGGAATATGAAAAAGTAATAAATGATAATTAAAAGCTAATATAATTTAAAGCGGATAAATGGAAAAGCAAAATACATCGCTGATATGTGTACACAATTTATTAGGAAATAGATCATTGAGAATATTGAAGTATAGATAGGTACCTATAAATAATAATACAAATTAATTATGTGTGAATATGATTTTATGCCGTCTTCGATTAAATTAAAAACATAATTAAATTTCCCCGAACGACCTCTGAAAAATGTTTGAATTTTTTTTTCATCTCCAAACAAATGCTTCTCAATAAATTAAAATACTAAAAAAACCTTCCTCTTTTCTTATTTGGAACATGTCTTGCACTTTTTTTTGTTGACATTTGTTCAATTAGACTTAGTATTACTTCTTCTATTCTATTTCTCCCAACAAAATGTTTGGCAAAACTTTTTTCTTTTGCTTACGCAACACGGTTTACCATTATGATCGAAAATTATCAAGATCTAAAAACTTGTGATCAATGGAACATAGAAAGACATAATAAATTATAATGGATATGAAATCAAGGTAGTGCAGTCTCTTGTGGCTCGTTTAATTATTGTAGTTGTTGGGAATCCTGCAGAGTGTCTAAAATTGGAGCAGCGCCAGTCGCTAGTTTACAGGTACATTTTGGTAACCACACCTTAAAAGTAATGTGTGATAAACCTACATCATAATCTGTACGGTAACCAGTAAAATATGATCGATACTAATTAAAACGAAAATAATCGAAAGTAAGTGAAGATGCGGGTTCTAGAGAACCTTCGGCTTTTTTCTTTTATATTTTCACGTTAGTTAGTGAATATAAAAACTGTAAATAAAACCTTTTTAAAATAAATGTAAACAGCGTAACGACTTACATGGG